ATGCGACTTTTCGTCTATTCGACCTTTTGTACATTCGACATTTTGTCATTCGGCCTTTTGTCCTCTATCCAATTTAAATCGTTTTTTTTTGACGTAGGACTACGTCTTTGATTTCTATATGGAGGTACAATTTGTGAAAACCGAAAATGGAACATGTAACAAAATTATAAAAGATTTTGAACGTTGATAACTCAGCTGCCCCTGGACCAATTTCAATAATTTTATCACCAATCGATCAGAAATATTTCTACGCATCTGTTAAATTTAAGACTTGATCATTTTTCAAAATGTCACAATTGAAAATTGCACGAATGTGTAACTGTTGCTATAATAGTTCAAATTATCACCTCACGCTAGTCTGCGAAAAGCGATTTCTCTAACACAGATTTCAAATTTGAATTCCATCTGGTCTTACTAAACGGTGTTTATTCAATCACCGCGTGGTGAGTGTGGTGTTCTCCAGTACACAACGAAAGGCTGCCTGCAAGCAGCGAGATGCAGCCCACATGAGCATCCATAGAAGGTGAAAGAAGCCGCACAGATATTGATCGGAATCAGAAGCTCTTCGTGAGTCGCTATGGGCCATCTATGTCAAGCGCGTCATACTAAAGAGTATAAACAGAGATAACCCCGCTCAAATTCCCATTCCTACACAAAACCCAAGCTCTTGCTGCAGTTAACAAATTATATTTATTATATAAGAACACGTATTTCCTACGTCCCCATTGCGAACAACCCCATAGGGCTGTCCCTTGTAGTTTTTTCTTTGATTTGTTTTCCGTTAATCTTGAACAAAGTGAAGAAAGTGTGAAGGTAAAGTTACCTGCAAAAAATACGGTTTTGAGTTTGTTGTGTGTGTAAGATATTTGAGTGTTTTCTTGGCCGCGATATTCAATTGCGTATGCCGACCATGAGGCAGTGTGGAGGGGGTCTTATTAGTGCTGGGCAGGGAGTACCCCACCTGTTTCAGAGCAATAGGAGCGAGAATAGGAGAGATGAAAGAATGAGAGAGAGAGAGAGAGAGAGAGGGGTTAGAGAGAAGTGAGCTGCTAGTGGGCTGGCTCGACGCGAGATCCAACGGGAGAAACTTTTAAGTTGAAAATATAGAGTCAAATCTTGCCTGACTTTTAAAAAGGTCCTAAGTAACAAATATAAACAAATCGAGTTAAGCGATTCAAACTATTGTTCTCATATCATTGTATGTGATACAAAAACACCCATCCAAATTTACTTTCATTTATTTAAGATAATCATAGGTCAAAATTGTCAAATGTACAGTTTGAAATGATGGGTACACGATTGTTACTTCGGTCATTCGGACTGCCCAATATGATTGGTGCTCATTTTCTAAAGGCGGGGCCAATCTAAAGTTAAGTACTCTTCTCTGAAATCTTTGAAAAGGAATCTAGTATCATCGTAGACAAAACGTCCAATGTAACAATCATTGATTATGTCATTGAGAAAAATCGTCCAATGTAACATGCTTAACTAAAGGGTGTCCACGATGAAATTGCCACACTATGAAATTGCTCTAACTTTTTAACCGTTGGGTAGAATTTAATGAAAATTTGGGTGGATTTAGTTCATAGTGCATTATTTACATCCTGCAAGTTTTAAAGTCCTGTGATCAAAACTCGCGGAAATGGAGTCGAAAGAACAGCTCGTGCGTGATAAAATCTTGCGCATTCATCACGAGAGCAAGGATCTCTCGCATCGTTCCATCGCTAAAACGTTGGGAATCGCGAATTCCACGGTGTCGCGAGTGATTAAGCGGTTCGAGGAACGGTTGACCACCGATCGGAACCCCAGAAGTGAAGGAAAAAGTATTCCGTACAACACCAAAAATCACAACCGCGTAGTTGGGGCCTTCAACCGAAATCCGAACGCCTCCGTTAGGGATGTGGCTAAGAAGCTGCACCTAAGCCGAAGTTTTGTCCAGAAGGCCAAAACTAAGGCTGGGCTTCGAACGTTCAAGGTACAAAAGGCCCCTAATCGCGACGAGAAGCAGAACAAGTCCGCCAAAACCCGTGCCAGGAAGTTGTACCTCAACATGCTGACGAAAGTTGAATGCTGCATCATGGACGACGAAACATATGTGAAGGCCGACTTCAAACAGATCCCCGGCAACCTGTTTTTCACGGCCAAGGATAAGTTCAGCGTTCCGGAGCATGTCCGCACTCAGAAAATGTCCAAATTTGCGAAGAAATTCCTGGTTTGGCAAGCCATCTGCACGTGCGGGAAGCGGAGTGCACCTTTCGTGACCCAGGACACGATGAACGGACAAGTGTACATAAAAGAGTGCGTCCAGAAGCGGCTGCTTCCTCTCCTGAAGGCCCACAACGTCCCAACAATCTTCTGGCCGGATTTGGCCTCATGCCACTACTCCAAGGACGTGCTGAAGTGGTATGCGGACAATAAGGGTAATTTCGTGCCGAAAATGTTCAACCCTCCCAACACTCCGGAGCTCCACCCCATCGAGAAGTACTGGGCGATTATGAAGCAGCACCTTCTTAAACGACCTAAGGTAGTGAAGACAGTCGAGGCACTGAAGAAAGTATGGGTTTACATGCAAAAAACGGTTGATTCACAGGTTGTGCAGAATCTTATGGCCGGGGTTAAGGCCAAGGTGCGGGCATTTGCGTATGGACTGTAAATAAAATACGAGTAAAATGGTAAAATGAAGTTTAATAGTTATTTCTCAATCCCTGAAAATTTGATGGCAATCGGATGAAAACTCGAATTTTTCGAATCAATTTTGTGTGTGGCAATTTCATCGTGGACACCCTTTAGTCAAAACGTCCTATGTGGTTTTTTTTTCTATATTGTAGCATGGCATTCTATGTAAAATTGTGATTTTACCGTTTCCACTGAATTTTCAACGTTATTATTCACTGATTACATTAAAAATAGTATTGCAAAATGTATTGTTTCTAACCAGTTAAAATAATAATCTGTCAAACTTCAACTTCGATTTTCGCAAAATAGTGGTTGTTACATTGGTCTATTTGAAAAGTGACGCGAGAAATCTATCTGAAACGGCCCACTACATCCTACGGCATCGAGACTTGGAATATGCTCGTAGATGACCAACCAAGGGTACGGTGTTTTTGAATGGAAGATGGAGTGCAGATGGAAGACGGAACATGGAGGAGGTGGATAAATCGTGAATTGCATCAACTGTTGGAAGTACCACCAACCGTGAAAATTGAGCAACTACGGGGTGCTATGCATTTTGTAAGAATGTTAGACGACAGCTCAATTAAAATGGTTCTAAGTAACGACTCGACTTGAGTGGTAAGGTAGGTATGCCTTTATTCAGGTCACAGAATAGGTGTACATCTTGCTTATTATTTCCAATCTCCACTTCCCCGGTCAGTTCCGCGATTCCCTCAAATCCAGGTAGTCATCCATCCGTGAACGAAGAAACAAATCCAAGCCGAACCTCCGTGCAGCGATAGCAATGATATTAATCATCTAAAGTGGAGATAACATCCGTCTAACAGTTCATTGAAGTGAAACTTCCTTTGAGCAGTTCCAGGCAAAGTAGCAAAAAAAATGAATCGACCTTCACGGATTTGTACGAAACGTTGCGTAATTATTTGTTATGGGCATTGATTCAAATTTTTACTAAAATTCGGCCATTTTGGATCTTGTAAAATTTTCCAAACAGTGTTCTTGAACTTTTTTAAATAATTATTAGAAACAAAGGAAAAATAAACAAAAACTGTTTATCTTTTATAAGTAAAATAAAAATCAGCCCGAAAATCTCAAAATGAACGCCATTTTTTTACAATTTTGTTTTCAATAAAAAACAGTGCAAACTTTTGAAATATTCAAAACCATGGACACTTTAACTCTGTATAAGTATTAGTATAAACTACAAAAAGAAATTTAAAAAAAATTTGACATTTTGAGATATTTCCGTTTTTTTTTTATTTTAACTTGAAATTACTAAAATCATCACCCAGAAAAACGTGATTTTTCCCTACAAATGTAATTTCGATCAGAATTGCCGTTTCCTTGATACATTTTTTTAAATTGTAAAAACTGAAAATTTTACGAAATCCAAAATGGCCAAATTTGGGCAAATATGTGAATCATTGCCCATAACAAACAGTTATGCAAAGTTTCATGCAAATCGAATACGGTTGAGTTTTTTCGATTCGTCATTTGGCGTGGAACGCCTCCTTTATGAAATGTTAGTGTCCCAAGCGTTCAGATATGATCTGGTCCGGCCGGGGTGGTGAAATGAAGAATGATGACCGTCGTCATTTCGAGCCATGCTCTGCCCGCACCCCCCCCCCCCCTCCCTCTGTGATTTGGACTTCCCGAGATGATTTATGGCTTCTTGGGAGAGATGAGACACTTTTTTCCGGTTCAGTTGTTTGTTGACGGAAGGCCTCTTCTATGAACTGATACTTGGTCGATGATGTGACTATGTGGAAAGATGAATCCACTTTTCCAGGAGAACATTATTGTACTAATGGGAGCGAGATCGTTGCCTGCTGTTGGACTGAGATGGGAAATTTTTGTGGGCAAAGGAATGCAAAATTATGAGTAACTTATTTAAATAAGGACTTTGCTTGGCAAATATTTCCAGCGAAAATTGTTGCCATGGAACTGATTTGGTATTCTGGATGTAAAACTTACCTTGAAACAATCAGGAAAACGCGTCAGCAAATAAATTTGACAGCAGTTTAATATATCAAAAAAATATTTTTACCAGTGTATCATCTAGTGGAGAGAAGCGCAAATTTGCTAGTCTCATATAGATGGTAGAGCTGAGAATCTTTAGCGTCTATCCGGGCAAAAGATTTCGGTACTTCGAAATACCGTCCCATTTCAAGCACCCGGATGCCTCATTGACCGGAATTCCATTCCTTATTTCATATGACGAAACATCATAATCTCATTCAGTTCCAACCAATCTTCAAAGAACCACCCTTCAGTGTTTGTGCCAAAATAGAGTCCGCCGGGCTTCCGAGTTTGCATATACTTACATGTAATCTGCCATCGACGTCGGGTAGCGTCCATCCGGCCAGAGCATATAGCAAACAGTCCTAGTGTTCCCGTTGTGGTATCTATGCAACGTCCAAGTGGAAGAGAAGGGAAAGTAAGAGGAAGAATGTTTATTAAGAGTACTATTATGCAAGATCAAAGCTATGGTTGGTTTGTCATTACCGGTCGTTGTTAGCAAAGAAAAGTAAGTAGGTTATTCAATTACCCTTTTAGAAGGCACCAAAAACAAAAACAACGAAAGGAAATTTCCACAGGGTTTCCACAGATATTCGGGGGGAAACGAAATTTAAAACTAATTCATGTGTATCCTGGACCGGAGCTGCTGCTCCGTTCCGTTAGTTTTTGAAGCCGGTGTTGTTGACTCGTAATGTTGTCGTAAGCCGGAAAGTCGAGCTCGATGGGAAAATACCTTTACTGACGGATTCGAAGTTCAACAAGTACCTAACCTGCCGTTTGTCTGCAGTTGTTGAAACCCGGAAAGCAGCTCAATTTTAACAACCGAGAAATGGCGAACAATGCCACGGATAAACGATGCACGGTATTTGATGATACGATTTCCGTGTTGAATTACATGTGTGTGTGTGTGTGTGTGTGTGCAGGATGCTACATACCAACCAGCATGTGTTTCCACCGATGATATTATCCTACTGCTCTTGCTGCTGGCTGTTCGACGGATGATATTTCGAAATATACCCGGAGTACAATCACATCATTTGCATTCATGCATCAATACGGAACACTGGGAAAACCATGGATCCAGATCAAGTTGTTATGTTCTTTAAATGCGTTCCAGGAATATGTTTCCTGTTGCGTATTGCGTCGTTCGTTAGGGAAAGTGAGAGAAATTAGGTTTATTCCAGTACTTGCTTTTTCTGTAATTTGCAATAAGAAAATAATACAGGAATGCCCGCTTTGCATGGTAGGTAGTGCCGTCAATTGGTCGAAAGATTGCTGTGAAATGGCGGTGGATAGACGGCACCACCGATCGCGCAAATCGGAGATTCCTGTATAATTTTCTTACATCAACTTACAGCAAAAGGAAAACAGCAAGTACGGGAACACACATATTGGCATTGAATTGGAGAAGAGGTAGATTCAAAAACCGATGGATTTGTTTATGGCATGCTCATTGCTTTCCATGCTAAATCGAAATTTAGTCCTTCTTGGTTATGGCGCACTGCAGAGTATTGCTTTCGGCTATGGATTGCCCGAACGCGTGAAAACGGGGTTATGAGCAATAGCAGTTATCATTCCCATTCAAGCAAATGAAACACGGTCGATATTGATTTATAAAATCTTGAACTTATACACCTATGGTGAGATCTGACTCTTCTTCAGTGCTGTAATGATAAATTTAGAACTGGTTACTCACTGATTTTCATAAGTGGGCCTCTTCAAAGGAAAACCCCTAATTGTAATTTTGTACCCACCCTTATAATCCATCTAATTAAAGGGATACACTTGTCTGCTATTAGCTCACCATAAAATTTGACGTTAGAACAACAACAATTTTTCTTAAAGACAGCTGACACCAACCACCACTTTTCTGATGTTTTCGGTGCTTCCTTGAAGATTTATGAACTTGTTCTCTACACACTTGGAATTTTTTGCCAAGATGGACACCACCAAGCAGCTCGGCATTTTATTTTGCTGGATCTCAGTGAAAAACTTGCCGAGACTCAGCAAATTTTATGTTTGTTAGCTGGGATCCAGCAAAATAAAATGCCGAGCTGCTCGGTGGTGCCCATCTCGGAAAAAAAATCTAAGTGTGTAGACTTCCCTGAGTTTATCGGAACTTCTTAGAAACATCCCACAACTTTCCTGAATATAATGGAACTGCCTTGATGTTCTTTGATCTATCCTGAAGCACCGCAATTTTCCTCATGAAACTTCCCTTAACATTTATTAACTTCATCATCGACTGCGTCCTAGCAAGAAGTACGGTCGACTTGTTTCGCGCTCCGTTGTTTTGGAAGTTTTCTCGGTATTCGCTTGATATAAATTATCAGTTTTTTCTCACTAAGTGACTCCTGGCATAGTTCCCGGTAAATTGATCGAAAAGTGAGTTTTTTTTAAAGTAGAAAGTGTCATTTTCGGAACGATTAATCCGTGCTATTGGTAATTCGCAAACCAATTTGGGCATCATCGTTACGTGGTCACGCATACGCGCTCACGCATACCCGCTTACGTATCATCATCATCGAGTTTGAGCACCCGTTTCTACATCTACATCGTTCATCAATCATCGTGCGCCTGTGTGCGCTGAGTACCGAGCCTCGATCAAGTGCACCACAACGAAGGTCATCCACGCAGCGCGTCTCTTCCAGCCATCTGTGTAAACGCCTATAACGCTCGGTGGTAGTAGTATAGGATTATCAGATAAGTTTTTGTTTTTTTCTTGTTTCTTTTCCTCCCCCATTAGTTAAATTTTCATTTTGTATTTCTGTGTTTGTAGTGTTTTCTGTGTATTGTGTCTGTGCGTTCAGTGGGAGAGCGTTTTGCGCTCCCACTAGTTGAACAAAATGGATGTTTTGTCAGAAGACGACATGGATGACCATTCATCTAAGAAAAATGATGATGTCATCCCTGGTTCGTCGTCTCAGTCTGTCAATGGGCAGGCTGAGAAAAACTCCAGATTGCGGGCCTACCCGAATGACTCGACTGGCCCATGGGTTGTCTATTTTCAGCCCAAAAACAAACCCTTGAATGTTGTTCAGATATCTGATGATCTGACAAAGCGATTCTCTGCCGTGACCGAAATAACGAAGGTTAGGCACAACAAACTTCGTGTGACCGTCGCTAACCTGAAACAGGCTAATGAAATTGCTGTTTCCCAGTTTTTCACACTGGAATATAGGGTGTACATTCCAGCCTCTGATGTGGAGATCGAAGGCGTGGTCACTGAGGCGAGCCTGAACCCCGAGATACTGGAGAAGCAAGCGGTTGGCCGATTCAAGAACCCCTTGCTTCCTCCGGTAAAGATACTGGCCGTTCATAGAATGAAGTCAGTATCGCTCAGCGAGGGTAAAAAGAGTTTTACCCCCACAGACTCGTTTCGGGTGACCTTTTCTGGATCTGCCCTTCCTCAATACATCGAGCTGGGAAAACTTCGTCTTCCTGTGCGGTTGTTTGTACCTCGGGTCATGAACTGCCAGAATTGTAAGCGGTTGGGACATACGGCCTCCCACTGCGGCAACAAGGCACGCTGCTCCACATGCGGGGAGAAGCACGAGGATGGCGCCTGCGCAGCTACTGCACCAAAATGCGTGTACTGCAATGGAACTCCTCCTCATGCTCTCTCGTCGTGCCCGGCGTACAAACAGCTCGGGGACAAAATGAAACGCTCCCTTAAGGAACGCTCCAGGCGGTCTTTTGCAGAAATGCTTAAGACAGCCAAACCATCGACCAACGAAACAAATCCCTTCGCTCTTTTGTCAGATGACGAGTCTGGCTCTGACTTGGCTGAGGAGGGAGTTTCTTTCAGTTTTCCGGAAGGTTCTGCCCGGAAACGAAAACGCATCCGTTCGCGGAAAGTTGCAGATCAAGAACCCCAAATCAGCTTGCGCAAATCAAGGAGTGGTGGAAAAAAGGAGACATCTACTCCTCCTGGATTCCGCAGAACTGATTATACCCAGGATTTTCCACCTCTTCCGGGGACATCCAAAACCCCTGATGCCCCAATTTTAAGAACAGAAACCCCTTCTTCATCTGGGCTGTTCTCATTTGATGACATTGTGGACGGTATTCTCAAATACCTCAACATTTCTGATCCTCTGAAAAGCATTGTCCTCACATTGCTTCCGACTGTGAAATCCTTCTTGAAGCAATTGACTTCAAAATGGCCCCTTCTTGCAGCTATCATCTCCTTCGATGGATAATTTTCCAAACGAGGTCGGGGATTTGATCACTGTTCTACAGTGGAATTGTCGAAGTCTTATTCCGAAATTAGATTCGTTCAAGTATTTAGTCCATAACAATAATTGCGATGCATTTGCCCTCTGTGAAACATGGCTCTCTTCAGAAATTGATCTCCCTTTTTTTGATTTTAACATTATTCGATTGGATCGTGAGGATTCACGTGGAGGAGGGGTACTTTTGGGGATCAAAAAGTGCCATTCCTTCTATAGAGTGAATCTTCCCGAATTCCCCGGTATTGAAGTTGTCGCATGTCAGGCTACCATTAACGGTAAGAGCCTTTGTATTGCTTCTGTATATATTGCTCCTAGAGTCTCTGTTAATCGCAAACAACTTTTCGACATATGTGCGGTACTTCCCGCTCCATGGTTGATCATGGGAGATTTTAACTCCCACGGTACAGGCTGGGGGGAGCTGTACGATGATAACCGTTCTACTTTGATTTATGATCTCTGCGACAAATTCAACATGACAATACTTAACAATGGAGAAGTAACACGTTTGGCTGGTCCATCCTCGAATGGTAGCAGATTAGACCTCACCTTTTGCTCTAATTCACTATCGTTGGATTGCACTTGGCATGTAATCCAGGATCCGCACGGTAGTGATCATCTGCCGATCAAAATTTCGATTGCCAGTGGGTTCAACTCGTCAGAATCCGTTAACGTCGCGTATGATCTAACCCGTAACATTGATTGGACTAAGTTCCAATCCGCGATAGACGATACAGTATCGTCAGTAGAAGAGCTTCCGCCGTTGGAGGAATATAATTTCCTCTCTAATCTCATCGTCGACAGCGCACTTCAAGCTCAAACACGACCGGTGCCGCGATCGTCTATTCGTAAGAAAACACCATCGCTCTGGTGGGATCAACAATGCACGGAGGTTTACCGTAAAAAGTCCGACGCGTTTAAACTTTTTCGGAAACGCGGAACACGCGAGCATTTCGACGCATACACATCTCTTGAACGCGAACTCAAGAGCCTCATCAAGGCCAAAAAACGGGGTTACTGGCGGCAGTTTGTAGACGGATTGTCGCGCGAAACGTCTATGAATACGCTTTGGAGTACGGCGCGAAGAATGCGTAACCGGTCTACTAACAACGAAAGCGAGGAATGCTCGGATCAATGGATTCTTAAATTCGCGC